TAAAATGATTTTGAAGAATGTCTCAAGTATAAACAGCATTCTGAGGAATGAGGGAGGTTGGAGGTGGTGAATACCAGGACATTTTTACCCAAAGGGGAGAGAGATACTTTAGAGGATGCCATTTAATATTCAAAAAAACATCTCCTGTGCAGTGGTCAGGTATTGATGGTGTAAATGGTCCTTTGATGACGCACCTGCCAGCTGTCATACTAAGCACCAGCTCTCCTTCCTTGGGTCAACATTCCCTTTCCCCTACTCAAGTCTGCCAACAATGCATTCTGGCTACTGTTATTCTTCCTCATCCCAAGTCTTATCAGTTCATTTAACCTATTATAGAAGCTGTAAATCACAGACCTGGAGTGAACTTTCCTTTTGGTGTGTCCTACTATTTTTCCCCTGGTAAAGCCTTCACTGGAGCTCTCTGGAAAGCCCATCTTTAGCTGTTTTATGTCAATAAAAGAGAGAACAATTGTGACTAATGAATTTAAATAATTTCTAAAAGTGTTTTATGTGGACATTGCTAACTTCTCTTAGAGCTTTGGAGAAATCAGCTCTTTTTACTATGAAATCACCGAGATGCTTTTGTGTGGAAGTGATATGATAAAGGAGGGAGAAATGAAGATGCCAGGAACATAAAAATAAGCTGTATTTAAAGAGAATATAACATATAATACATATAACAGTGTTAAGCAACTGTTATGTTGGCTTTTGGTTAACAGAAGGCTACTAGTAGTTACATTTTGGGAGTATCAAAAGTCCTATGTGAATTTCTGACTGCAGGGGGAGGGAGAGCCAGGGTTGTTCAAGGGTCTACTGCATTATGTTTTGTACTTAAATGTGATTTTAGCAGACACTATTAATCAATAATCTAACCCTGAGAAAATAATGCCTACAATATTTGAAATAAGTACAACATTGGAAAATGTACTCAGGCCCTGGCTAGTGTGGCTCAGTTGGTTGGAACAACATCCCATACACCAAAAGGTGGTGTTGGGTGTGCGCGCGCGCTCGCTCTCTCTCTCTCTCTCTCTCTCTCTCTCTCTCTCTCTCTCCACTCTCTAAAATTAAATAAATTTTAAAACACACAAAAGTATACTTAGTATACTGGGTATATTATATGCAGTACTTATTTTTATTATTATAGTCGGTGCTGTTATTGAATCAATCAAGCTACACTACAAATTAAAAGCATACAGTGTTTAGGGAGGAACTTTTTGTTCTATATTCCTGTTACAGAATAAAAAAGGAGGGGGGATAGTGTGTTGTTTTATAACAATTTTCACAGCTAGAAGAACTGGAAAGAAGGGGAAAGAATAACATAGAAGTAAATACCTACCAACAAATGTCCAGCAACACTTTTTTCACCTGAAGTAATCCAGAAAATAGTCTATATTGAAGGATAAGAAGTAATCCATCCAAATGGACCACTCCAGTGAGTCAGCTGCTTGTGATTCTATTTTTTCCCCTTTAAATCAATAAAGGCAACTGACATTACCATCTTGTTTTTAAATAGGAAGAGATACTGGTAATGAGTAACAAAATGTTAATTTAAATTATAGTGTGTGTGTGTTTTCAGATTCCTTGACTCATTTAAGTAATTAAATAAAGATTTACATGATTTCTATTACAGTATTCAATAGGTAGTAATCTTTCTCAAATTAGTTACCATTAATATTAGTTATATTAATAACTTGCCAAATGTAGAAATGCTCCAAGTTTCAGAAAATTACTATTTCAAAGGCCAGAAATATAGCCTTTAATACACACACACACACATCAATTCTTAAGGTTAGGATATGGCATGTAACAAATATGTTTAGCGGAATGGATAAGAATTTAATTCCTCAGCCGAAACTGGTTTGGCTCAGTGGATAGAGCGTCGGCCTGCGGACTGAAGGGTTCTAGGTTCGATTCTGGTCAAAGGTACGTACTTGGTTGCGGGCACATCCCTAGTGGGGTGTGTGCAGGAGGCAGCTGGTCCATGTTTCTCTCTCATCGACGTTTCTAACTCTCTATTCCTCTCAATTCCTCTCTGTGTAAAACCAATAAAATATGTTAATAAAAAAAAAATTTAATTCCTCAGTAGCCCTTAGACTTCAGTGCTGACATTAATGATTCCCCAAAATAGATGCAGCTATCCAAATCCTCAATCTCAGGACTCGTGTAATAATCTGTCGATTACCTTTAAAATTACTGTCAAAATATTAATTTTTAAAACCATCTGATAATGCTTGCTTCCTAACTTTTAACCCTTTTTCTGATCATGATCACTTATTACAAAATCCATTCACTTTATTTCTAGTAGAAACAAATTACTTGATTACAACCCTTTATCTCTTCAATAAACTGTCCTTAGACTTGCAAAGTTAGCAAAGTTCAGTACAGAAAACCGAAAAGGTAGAAGAGGTAGTAAGACACAGAAACCGTGGGTAGTCCCTCAGTTCTGTACACTGCTTAGCAGCACAGCCACAAATGAGTGATGACAGACAGCAATTGTCCTAATCTAGGTCAATACAACAGCCAAAATACTTTGTAAACACTTTCTTTGGCTCTTTCTGGATATCAACACTCTTCTGATTAAATAGCATGCTAAGAGCTTAATCACAACAGAAGTGTTCAATAATATTTACTTATCTAACATCTTTTATCAACAATCTTAAAATCAAATAACACTAATCATAACTCAGTCAGTGAGAGATAGGTATTAAGGCCAATTGCAAAGACCAAGAATTAGGAATGTATGCTATTGAATAATCTTTGTGAGCTAAAGACTGCTGCTTTATATAGCTCCAAGTAAATAAAATGGAGTATCAAGTCTTCTTCAACATACCCAAAGTTAGGCACAAGAACTCAGTGTGAATGAGGAAGTGTATTTTCTTAATATGTTTCATTTGTACTTAATTTTTACTGAAGTTTGATTTATTGAAGTTTAATCTTAGAAGATATTGTTTACTCAATGATCTTATCAGAGAAAATTATAATAACATAGTGTCTTAGATATTACATTCTTTTTAATATTATATTGTTTTAAATATTAGATTCAAATTCTACAGTATTACATATACCAATTATTTGAGATATCTTTTTATGTGAGGTGAAAGGTTTATGCTAAGTATACACACAATCTTCCTTGTGACCAAAAGCTGAATCTGTGAGACCCCCAGATTCAGCTTTCTGTAACTATGAATAGTTACAGAAAGGTGCATTCTGAAACTATGAATAGTTCTGTATATGTGTGTAAAATGAATGAACCTGTACTAGTAAAGCTCCTGTCCTTAGCCTCAGTAGCATCATGCTCTGAGTTAACTAGTTCAAACTATTAGATAAAAGTAGTAACTAATGAATAGGAACAAAGAAAGGTTATATCTCATCATCTTAAGGTTTCACAGAGATGATTCAGATTTCCGATTCAAATTCCCACTTCCTAAAAAATGAATTCTTAAATAACTGAACTCTTAAATCACAGAAGTGCAATACTCTGAAATTATCCTAAAGACTTAAGAAAATAGCCAATTACTACTGTGAAGAAAACATAGCTATATGGAATATAGCTAAACAAAAGGAGAACTCAGTAAAAGAGAACATTTTTTAATATTTTTAAACCAATAAAAGATGTCTGTTTAGGATTCACATCAGTAGTCACTAATTGGGTAAATACTAAAGACTTACATTCAAGTGCTTGAAGGATTACTGCACAGAAATTTGATACTAAGAATCTTTGCTCAGATGCATCTCCGGCTCATTAAAGATGAGATGATGTAGGAAACAACAGTGGTATTTAAAGCCCAATCACTTTCAAGACAGGCTAAAATATACAGCTGTGAAGACATTCCACAAGTGGAGTCATTGACACCAAAAAATGGTATTAAGGGAAAAAAAAAAAGACCTCATACAGTCTGCTGGCATTTCATACCAACCATTGGAGGAGGTAGTAATATAAAGTATTGGAATTAAAAATATAAGGTCAGCACTAATTGTAAACATTGCTAAAGCATTGTATGTAATTCTTTAAATCATAATGTAGTGAAAAACAATTAGAATTCATACAAAATAAGATTTTTTAAAAAGCAAAAAATGGAAGTATTTAGTAAATTTACTCAACTGAAGCTTAAATGATACAGAACTGAAAATATTAGAAATCTATATACAATAGAAAGTGAATATAAATTAGCCAACTCTATGAACATTTTCAGCTAAGCACACATACAAATACATAGTCACCACTTTCTTTTATATAGTAATAATACATACATACATGACATGACAATTCTGGCAAAAAAAATTCAGAGACATTAAAAATATTCTCAAGTTTTAAAGATAGTGTGGAATAAATTTTAACAACATTCCACACAAATGGAAACCCCTGATTTAATTCCATAACTTTCATGCCAGAAGCATGGTTAGTTTTACTTTTTTTTTTTTTAGACAGATCTTGGTATCATATACATTGGCTTATTAATAATTAAGGCATTTTGTTTACACAGTATCTCAGTGTGGACAAAAAAACTTTTAGTATTGATTATTTGCTATGATGTTTAAAACTTTCAGTCTTTCAAAATAAGAAAATAGCTGCACATATTTGAGTGTTTTCTTATAAAACACAATCTTAAAAAAAAGTAATGATGATTGGTCTTTGCTTTTCCTAGTTATAAGTTTTGTCTTATTTTTTCACATAGTATAAAGTATATTCTTATGAAGGATTGCATTAAGATCCAGTAGTTCTTGCCAAGAAACCATATAAATCCCAAATGCAGCGAAGGTGAACAATCTTCATAGTGCACTTTCACCTTATTAAAGTTGAAGCTGCTTCCTTTCGGATATTTTTCCACTTCAATGTGAAGTAGATTGTTAGGGTTTTGTTATTGGTTTCATACGTGGCTTTAAAAGGAAAAGGTTTTGATTTCTTCCACAGTTCACAGTTCTCTAATGAGACTTGTTTGGAAATCATATAGTCCAGGGATGTTTTGAATAACCAAATGTTCTTTAGTAGATGAAGTCTTTCAATGCAACTGTAATAAATAAGCATCTACATCCTTAGAAAATAAAACAAAAACATTTCATTAGCTAGTACAGTAAATACATATTTACACAACCCCTTTCTTCTCCCTTTAGTTACTTGATTTGCCTCAGTTTCCCTTTGTAACCTTTGAGGGTAAATGATGTGGTGTACTCAACTTGTTAATCTACATTTGTTTAGCACAGGGCCTGGCACACAACAAGGGCTCAATAAATGTTTGTTACGTGCTGAGTAAATGGTTTGGTTCTTGTGATCAAGCAATTCTGCCTTTATAGCTAGGCAAGATCATTAAATCATTTACAACAGTTCTTTCAGTTTGATGATAGCCTATCTTTCTGATTTCTACCTTCAAGAAAATTATAATTGAGTGTTTAATCTTATAAAAGAGGTGTTTTTTTTTTATCATAGCTTAAGGAACTTCATAGAACTTTTAATCACTCCATATTGTCTTTATCTTAATCTCATATTCACAATAAAGCTTTATTTATAAAAAATTATGATCAAATGCAAATTTCTAAGAAAATATTAATTTTTCAGTTCTGTTACCACAAGAATATAAGACCCCTCCAGAACAATGTGATATATCTGGTATGCTCTAAAGCATCCCAATTTCTTTCAGCTTTTATGCTTCATTGTCTCTCCTTCCTCCCCCCTTATCAAAAGAACAACAGAAAAATACTTCTGGAAAACTGATTTCTGTTTATAATATTTTAATCATTAAAAATTCTACAAAGTTAGCCGAAACCGGTTTGGCTCAGTGGTAGAGCGTCGGTCTGCGGACTGAAAGGTCCCAGGTTCGATTCCGGTCAGGGGCATGCACATTGGTTGCAGGCACATCCCCGGTAGGGGGTGTGCAAGAGGCAGCTGGTCGGTGTTTCTCTCATCGACATTTCTAGCTCTCTATCTCTCTCCCTTCCTCTCTGTAAAAAATCAATAAAAATAAAAAAAATAAAAATTCTACAAAGTTAAATTATACACAGTGGTAAAACACATGCTTGGTACATCATTTTGCTTCTTTCCTTGAAAAGTATCTAAGACAGCCGAAATCGGTTTGGCTCAGTGGTAGAGCGTCCGCCTGCGGACTAAAAGGTCCCAGGTTCGATTCCGGTCAAGGGCATGTATCTTGGTTGTGGGCACATCCCCAGTAGGGGGTATGCAAGAGGCAGCTGACCGATGATTCTCTCTCATTGATGTTTCTAACTCTCTATCCCACTCTCTTCCTATCTGTAAAAAATCAATAAAATATATATATTTTAAAAATAACAACAAAAAAAGAAAAGTATCTAAGACAATTTTTACAATTAAGTCTATAACATAAATCCTCTTATTTAGTATATTTTTAAAAATTAAAAAACAATTTTATATTTCTGACTAATGTCCATTTATAATAGCAATATGCTCAGTAAAAGGGTGGAAACATTTAACAATGATTTTTTTCTGCAATTATGTGTTTTATATACCAATGTTTTCTGTAGTTTAAATATTAAAATCTAATGTACCTTTTCCTTTAAGAGACAAATATACCAATAAAGACCAATATCAAATTCATATTGTGATTTGAACAGTATATTTTCCTAAAGAGCGTGATATTAGCAACAGTCAAGTAAAATATAACATCTCCAAACAATTTAATTTATTCCTTACTAAATCTTTAGATCCCTTTCTTACTTGAATTTTTAACTTTTTCAAATATTTTTCTTTTATTAGAACTAGGTCATTAAACAACCTCCAACACATTGTTTTCTGTGGCTATATTTCAAACACATTCAATGGGTAACTTTGTGCTCCCTGTCAAAGTCACATTCATATCCAGAAGACCATAAGCATTTGCAAATATGAAACTGACTGTAGACCTTACTGAATAGTACTGAATTACTTTGGCTCAAGATTTGAAAGAATTCATTTATAAATGCATACTTCCATATTACTTCTAAATTTTAATTAAGCTTAAATATTAATTTTTAAACTTAAATTTTTAAGCTTACATATAGATTACCTTAGCTATATTACCAGTATATCCTGGAACCAAAGTAAGATGGTTTTCTTGTTCCCACAATCTGCTTAATTGTTGTTTTAAAATATGAATATTTCTAGGAGGAAAAAAGAAAATGCAAATATGATATGAACTTTGGTAGTAAATACACTTAATGAAAATAGTTTTAAATTTTTCAAGTATTTATTAAAGAATATTATACTACTGAAGTCAGGCAACTCTTTAAAATAGTACATGCCAATCACAAAAATTAAAGGTTATTTGTTAATGCAGGTAAGAATACTAGGCATGAAGCATTTAGACAACTTGTTGGGTATAGAGTAGGACATTTTGTGAATTTAAAAAGAAAACTGTACAACTTTAAGGAAAACTTTGGGAGACATTTTTAGTAGCTTCATGATAATCTTGCTCATTTGGTAGAAAATCTACATATTTTCATAGCAAGGCAATACTCAAATTATGATGGCTATAATATAGTTTTTAAGATGGCAAAACTCAAAGTTCGATACTAGATCTAATTGCAATACTCAAATTATGATGATTATAATATAGTTCTTAGAACTGGATTCTAAGGTTAGTATCTAGGCAGCTAAAGTACTCTGAAGGACACCTCAATTCCTGTACCTCATTACTTATACCACTAAGGACTATCTCTTTTTCTCTCCCTTATTCATTACAATGGTTAAATCATTGCTGTGCTTTTTCTTTCTAAAATGAGGAGTAGGGTTCTGCTAAATAAGAGGTTACTGGACTCTGAAATTCAACTTCCATGTGTAATTTTCACACATGAACAGTATCCCAATTTATTTCCTGAAAATAAAGAGAATATTATATACTGATGATCACAGAATAAAATTATCATCTAGTTAAATACAACTGCTCTTCCGGGGGGAAAAAAAAAGTAAAATAAAATAAAATTTAGAAGCATAAGGTTATCTTTAAAGGTATACTCACCCATCATTTATAATTTCTGTTTTGGATGATAGTTCTGACCACCACCTTTTTATGACTGCTTGAAGCCAGTTTAAACCAACTATTATATATCTGAAATGACATTTTGTTACAAAATTCAAGTATTTTCATCTAAGAAGCCTTTACACAAAATAATACTTCCACTACTCAAAAATAACCCAATGCAAACATTACATTGATCTTTCCCTCTTCTAAACATTTATTTCACAAAACTGTATTTTATATAACTTGTTTATAGATTTTTCTGTAATTGTCTTTAGTCACTTCATATTCTTTCCCTAACTGGACTATAAGCAAGTTAAAAAGAGAAACCATGTATGTTTTCAGGAGCTCAATCTACTACTAATGCACTCACAGGACACAGAAAGTTGAAAAAGAAAAATGACTTGAGATTCAGATCAGCACTTACTCTTCAAATTTGCTTTTAAGTAGTGACTTTACAAGAGGCAACAAGTCTACACAGCAGCCAAGTGAGATGTATTGTTTTTCTTCCTGTATACTAAAATAAATACAAGTCATAAAAATATGAATAAGTCATAATTTATCTTTTGCAAACTAATTTATTTTCTGGAAAAAAAATATTTTTTTACCTATTGGTAAGCACAGGAAGACAATCCACCACCACTCCAAGGTCTTCTATCCTATGGGTACAAAAAGAATAGCATTACTTAAAGAGATAATTTCAATTTTCATATTAGAGGCACAGTGCACTGAAAGAGGGGTGTCCCTCAGCCAAGCCTGTGCCCTCTTGCAATCCGGGACACCTCGGGAGGTCTCCAACTACCGGCATAGGGTTTTATTATACAGGATGACCTTCACACTGCCTTTGAGAAATTCACTCATTCAACAAATTAGCCTGATGTTGGGGGTACAACAGTAAACAAAGAGATAGGACTTGCCTTCTAGTGTGTGTATGTGTGTGCGCGCAAGCGCGCATGCATGGGAGTGTGTGTGTGTGTGTGTATGTGTGAGAGAGAAAGAGAGAGAGAGTGTGTGTGTGTTAGAGGTGGGTGGGAGAATGCTGAGTCAGACAATCTATATAATAAAAGGCTAATATGCAAATCAACCAAATGGTGAAACGACCGGTTGCTATGACACACAATGACTACCAGGAGGCAGACACTCAACATAGAAGCTGACCCCTGGTGATCAGTGTGCTCCCACAGTTGGGAGCGCTGCTCAGCCAGAAGCCAGGCTCACAGCTGGCAAGCATAGAGGCAGTAGCAGGAGTCTCTTCTGCCTCCGCAGCAGTTGGATATCCCCCCATGCTCCCAGAATGCAAGAGGGCATAGGCCAGGCTGAGAGAACCTCCCCAAATGCATGATTTTTGTGCACAAGGCCTCTAGAAAACATGTAAACAAATAAAATATATAGAACATGAAGATGGTGGTAAATGCTACAGAGAAAAATAAAACAGAAAAGATGGGGAGTAAAGAAGTGTATATTTTTAAATAAGGTGGCAAAAGAAGGCATCACTAGGGTAACATTTGAGAAGGTAATATTTAAAATTTTCACTCAAAGGGGATTCTTAAAGATTTAGTTTTCCAATATTGGTATCTCTTAGTATAATTGACAAGAAGCTTAGAGAAGCCCTGGTTGATTTGGCTCAATGGATAGAGAGAGCATTCGCCTGTGGACTGAAGGGTTCCAGGTTCGATTCTGAGACAGGGCACATGCCCGGGTTGCAGGCTCGATTTCCCAGTAAGGGACGTACAGAAGGCAACCAATCAATGATTCTCTTTCAACACTGATGTTTCTAACTCTCTCTCTCCCTTCATCCCTGAAATCAATAAAAATATATTTTAAAAAATAATCTTAGAGAGGGTAACAGCTTTATTCGTTCTGATAAAATTGATGGTTTTCTTTATTTTGGTTACTCTTAACTGATGTTGAATGTAATTTAAACTATATTGTTTCTATTGAAGCTAAATATAGTTTAGCCAGTAATAATAAAAAAGAAGAGGCACTTCTAAATAGCATATTAAAAATTACTTTTTATTGAACAAAAAGGTCCACTTACCTCACCAAATAAGCTACAAGTTCACTTATACTTCTCTTTTTCCAGAAAGTTAAAGCTACATTCAATCTCAAATTCCTGCTGAACAAAACTTGTGCCATTGTTTCATGATCCTGAGATACCTGAAAGGTAATCATCTAATTTCTTAAAAAGCACACTGAAACATGATATGAAATAAGTTTCTTAATTAAATCATTCCTGTAGACATATTGTAAAATTATACAAAGGTGGTGATTTTTGGATGGAAGGAGACTTGACTTGAGATGGTAGGCACATAATACAATCCTATCTAATAAAAGAGTAATATGCAGATTGACCATCACTCCAACACTCAATATGGCTGCCCCCATATGGTCAAAGATGGCTGTCCCCATGTGGGCACAAGAAGGCCACCACAAGATGGCCAGCAGGGAAGGACAGTTGGGAGGGACCAGGTCTGCAAGGGAGGGCAGTTGGGGGCAATCAAGTCTGCAGGGGAGGGCAGTTAGGGGTGACCAGGCTGGCAGAGAAGGGAAGTTGGGGGCAAAAAGGCTGATAGCGGAGCAGTTAGATATGAATCAGGCTGGCATGGGAGTGGTTAGGGGTTGATCAGGTTGGCAGGCAGAAACGGTTAAGGACAATCAGGAAGGCAGGCAGGCAAGCAGTTGAGAGCCAGCAGACCTGGATTGTGAGAGGGATGTCCATTTGCCTATTTAGACCTGATCCCACCAGACATCCCTTGAGGAGTCCCAGAATGGAGAGGGTGCAGGTTGGGCTGAGGGACAACCCCCAACTCTGGCACAAATTTTGTGAACCGGGCCTCTAGTATACAAATAATGTATTATATGGTTGTACACCTGAAACTTATATAATTTTATTAACAAAGCCACATCAATAAATTCAATAAAAATTAAAAATAAAATTTAAGAAATTATTCAAAGGTGACTCCATTTACAAAACATATAAATCAACAAATACACACACACACACACACACACACACACACACACACACACACACACACACACACTAAAGCCCAAATGGCATGGCTCAGTGGTTGAGCATTGAGCTACCAACCAGGAGGTCATGGTTTGACTCCCAGTTAGGGCACATGCCTGGGCGAGGGAGGGGGGGGGAGGAGGAGGGGGAAGGAGAGGAAGGTAGAAACAACAATGATGAGAAAGAATCATTGATCAGCGGCCTCTTTTACGCCCGCCATGGAAGATCAAGCCCATAATCCAGGCATGTGCCCTGACCAAGAATTGAACTGTAACCTCCTAGCTCATAGGTTGACACTCATCCATGCCAGCCAGGTTGGTGGTCTATTTTATAAGCAAGATTTCTTTTACATTCCTTTAAAGCTCTACTGGCCAATCTGTCATTATGGATATTTACAGCAGCTTGTCAATCATTTGAAGTCACCTCAGATATCACTAATTTAAGAGAAATGGAATAAACTACTGAATCAAATTTGGTTAATCAGGAAAACTGTGTCAGGAGTTACAATCATTCAAATAAATCTGAATTCAATGTGTGGTAATTATTCAAATAGCAGAATATGGAAAAGAAAAAAAACAAGAGTATAACAAGAATAAAGTTAAGTTTATAAACTTAAATTTATTAACTTACCTCAGAAAAAAACCCACTGTATTTTGATGATGCGCTTTCTGTCTGTGAAGATCCAGAATCACTGGAGTTAAGCAAATATGTTCGACTATCATGGTGTAATTTTTCAGGCAGGTGGCCTGCACAAGCCAGTTCATTTTCTTTATTTGCCATGTCACAGCCCCCACTTCTAGGGGACTGTTTCTTTTTAAAACAAGAATTTGGAAAAGGATAATGAACTTTCTTTCTGTGATAGGTCACCTTACGTAGTTTATCTGGACTTTTAACAGCGTGTCCAACTGTTCTGTAAAAAATGAAAAAAGATCCACATTCAAACCTTTAAAGTTTTTAAACAGAAAGATTTTATAGGCCACATTTTGTGATTACAATCCAATAAAATTAGAAATAAACAGAATTTTTAAAAATCTTAAATTTTAAAAAGGGAAATTACAAACCATCTGAAAAGCAATTAACAGGATGATACTTTATACCAAATGAAAATAAAGAGGCATGCCGAAGCCGGTTTGGCTCAGTGGTAGAGCGTTGGTCTGCAGACTGATTCCGGTCAAGGGCATGTACATTGGTTGCGGGCACATCTCTGGTAGGGGATGTGCAAGAGGCAGCTGGTTGATGTTTCTCTCTCATCGACGTTTCTAGCTCTCTATCTCTCTCCCTTCCTCCTCTCTGTGAAATATCAATAAAATAAAATTTTAAAAAGAGGCATAACTAGTTGCTTTTAATTTTTTAAAATATATTTTATTGATTTTTTTTTTTTTTTTACAGAGAGGAAGGGAGAAGGATAGAGAGTTAGAAACATCAGTGAGAGAAAAACATCAATGATAGAGAAACATCAATTAGCTGCCTCCTGCACACCCCCTACTGGGGATGTGCCTGCAACCAAGGTACATGCCCTTGACCGGAATTGAACCTGGAACCCTTGAGTTCACAGGCCGATGCTCTATCCACTAAGCCAAAATGGTTAGGGCAGATGCTTTTAAAATGAAATATTACAGGTCATTTTTGGAGTAAGAAAATTATAACTTTTTTTTTTTTTTTAAGATTTGAATAGACATTTAATGAAAGAATATATTTAAACTAGAGGCCCGATGCACAAAATTCATGCAAGTGGCATGGCCCTCACAGTCGCAGTGGCTTGCCTCAGCCCTCACAGCACCAGCTTCGTCTGGAAGGTTGTTCAGCTATCCGGTATAATTAGCATATTATACTTTCATTATTATAGATGGCCAATAAGCACATGAAAAAATGAGTAACATTAGACATTTGGAATATATGTATTAAAAACCACAGTGAGAGCCAAAGCCGGTTTGGCTCAGCGGTAGAGCGTCAGTCTGTGGGCAGAAAGGTCCCAGGTTCGATTCCGGTCAAGGGCATGTACATTGGTTGCAAGCACATCCCCGATATGAGGTGTGCAAGAGGCAGCTGGTCGATGTTTCTCTCTCATCGACGTTTCTAGCTCTCTATCTCTCTCCCTTCTTCTCTGTAAGAAAAATCAATAAAATATTTAAAAAAAAAACACCACAGTGAGATACACTCCTAGAATGACAACTATAACAATTTCTAATCACCTAAATTTTTTCTAACAAAATTGACAAATAATTATATATATTTGAATATTTTAAAATTTATTTTTATTAAGTTGAAGTATTTTTAATTTTATTTGAATAAGAAACCACAAAAGAACACATCTCATGGTTTAGTATAGTGGTTTTCAACAGTTTTGGCCTCAGGATGCTTTGCACTTTTAAAAATTCTTGAAGTCTCCTGAACAGACACTTTTCCCAAGAAGACGTAGAAATGGCCAACAGATATATGAAAAGATGTTCAATTTCACTAGCTCTTAGGAAAATGCAAATCAAAACTATAATGAGATAGCACCTCACACCTGTTAGGATGGCTATTAACAAGACAAGTAATAATAAGAGTTGAAGAGATTGCAGAGAAAAATACCCTTATTCACTGTAGTGGAAATGTAAACTGGTACAGCTACTATGGCAAACAATATGGACGTTCCCCAAAAAGCTAAGAATAGAGTTCTCCTAGGACCAGCAACCCCTCTTCTGGATATCTACACAAAAACCTTAATTTATTTTAAAAGATATATGTACTCCATGTTTAGTGCAGTATTTATTCACGGTGGCGAAGATAAGGAAACAATGGAAATATCCTTCGATAGATGATCTGATAAAGAAGCTGTTGTACATTTATACAATGGAATACTACTCAGCCACAAGAAAAGATGAAATACCGTCATTCCTGACTCATGGATGGATCTTGGGAATATCATGCTATGTAAAATAAATCATATGGAAAAAGTCAAGAACCATATGAATTCATACATATGTGGGATATAAAACTGAAAACAACAAATGAACAAACTAACAAAACTATAGACATAGCTAACAGTATAGTGGTTACCAGAGGAAAAGGGGGGTGGGAAGGTAGAAAAGGATAAAGGGAGTCGGTGACAAAAGAATAAACTTTGGGTAGTGAGCACACAATGCAATATACAAATAATGTATTAGAACTGAACACTTGAAACCAGCCTATATGTTTATTAATCAATTCACCTCAATAAATTTAATTAAAATTTTTAAAAAATTCTTGAGGTCTCAAAATAATTTTTTTTATGTGGGAAATATTTGATATTTACTGTGTTAGGAACTAAAACTGAGAAAATGTGTTAATTCATTTAAAAATAAGCCAAAACCAGTTTGGCTCAGCGTCGGTCTGCGGTCTGAAGGGTCCCAGGTTCGATTCCGGTCAAGGGCATGTACATTGGTTGCCAGCACATCACCAGTGGGGGATGTGCAAAAGGCGGCTGGCTGATGTTTCTCTCTCATCAACGTTTCTAGCTCTCTATCTCTCTCCCTTCCTATCTGTAAAAAATCAATAAAATATATTAAAAAAATATTTAAAAAATAAAATAAAATAAAAATAATTGACTTGCCCTAGCTGGTTTGGCTCAGTGAATAGCATCAGCCTGCGGACTAAAGGGTCCCAGGTTCGATTCTGGCCAAGGGCACATGCCTGGGTTGTGGGCTCAATCCCCAGTAGGGGGCACGCAGGAGGCAGCTGATCAATGATTCTCTCTCATCATTGATGTTTCTCTCTCTCTCTCCCCCTCTCCTTTATCTCTGAAATCAATAAAGAAATATATGTTTTAAAAAAGAATAGACTGCCGAAGCCGGTTTGGCTCAGTGGATAGAGCGTCGGCCTGTGGACTGAAAGGTCCCGGGTTGATTCCGGTCAAGGGCATATACCTTGGTTGCGGGCACGTACCTTGCTTGCGGGCACATCCCCGGTGGGGGGCGTGCAAGAGGCAGCTGATCGATGACTCTCATCGATGTTTCAACTCTCTACTCTCTATCTCTCTCCCTTCCTCTCTGTAAAAAATCAATAAAATATATTTTAAAATAAATAAATAAATAAACAAACAAACAAATAAATAAAAAAGAACAGACTTGTTACTGATTAACACAGATTTTTAAAAAATATTTATATTGACTTCTAGAGAGATAAGAAGGGAGAGAGAAAGAGAAAGAGAAAGACTGACGTGAAAGTGAAACATCAATCCCTTCGACTGGGGATCCAGGCATGTTCTCTGATTGGGAATCGAACCAGCAACCTTTTTGATGCATAGGACGATGCCCAACCAACTGAGCCACCATCGGCCACATACACACACACACACTGAGAAGAATGGCATTATTCTATATTTTTACAAAATCTCTAATATTTAACAGAAGACAGTTGGATTCTCATTATTTCCTTCTCTATCTGTGATATCAAATGTAGCTTCTGGAAAACTCTACTATACACTTGTAAGAGAATAAAAATGAAAAAGGTAAATATTGTCTTAGTATTGATATGACTCCAGTAACCTCAAAAACTCCCTGAAAGGGCTTCAGGAACCCCAGGGTCTCAGATCATACTGTAAGAAGCAGTGGTTTAGTAGAAAGTTCGGCAAATCTGAGAAGGAATGCCATTTTTATCACTTTCTTAGTGCATAACTCTGAACAAATCACTTAACTTCTCTGATCTTTAGGTTTCCTCATCAATTGTTGGGGGGAGGGGGGAGTGAAACCTACCCAGTAGGACTGTGGTAACTATTAGAGATAATATTGATGTGTTTAGCACAATGACTAGCAAAAAGGAAATGTTTGATTAACTGTGCACCTATGGATGAGGACAATGGTGGGTGGGGAGGGGGTGGAGGGTGGGGTGGGAACCTGGTGGAGGGGGGAAGAAATGAGGAACCTTTGTAATAATATGAACAATAGAGATTGATTTAAGAATTTTTTAAAAAAAGGAACCTTTGTAATAATATGAATAATAAAGACTGATTTAAGAATTTAAAAAAAAGGAAATGTTTGAGAATAATATAATTATTATAATATAAAAGAATACTTATCCAGCTTTCAACATTTGCTGTGTCCCACAAACTTTAAAGATGCTCTTACCTATTTATGTAAGCAGCCAACTGTTTTGGAGATTTCTTAACCTAAAAATTAAAATAGATAGTTGTAACAAATTTAAGATTTTAAATAAAGCTATGTAAACTTTGTGATTGATATTAACAAATCTGAGATTCAACAGTTAAGTTTTTCAGACTAAAGCTTTACCTCAATCATTAGTTACAACAACACTGTATAGAGATGTTTTTGGTATATCTATTTCCCTATTTTCTATGTCACTAGTCACATATTATTTTTAGAGGGTACTTAATAAGTTGAATTTTAATGTGGTTTAAGAGAAATTATACCACTGCTGATATGCCTAACAATGGCAAACAAAAAGCACTTTTAAGATTCTTCTTTAACCCAGAAATCACCCCAAGCCATTATGCTCAATTAATATTTGACAAAGAAGGCAAGAGCATACAATGGAGTCAAAACAGTCTCATTAATAAATGGTGCTGGGAAAGTTGGACAGAAACATTAAAAAAAAAAAAAAAAAAAAGGAAGAAAGAAAGAAATTATATCACCAACTTAAACCATCCACAAAAACAAAGTCAAAATGGCTAAAGGACTTGAATGTAAGATGGGAAACCATAAAAATCCTACAAGATTCCATAGGCAGCAAAATAGCAGTCATCTGTCATAGCAATATCTTTACAGACACAACTCCTAGGGCAATGGAGACTAAGGAGAAAGTAAACAAATGGGACTACATCAAAATAAAAAGCTTCTGGAGAGAAACCAAGTTGGTGGCATAAGTAACTATGAACTTGCTGCCTTGCACAACTTCAAAACTACAACTAAAAGACAAAACAGACATCATCAAGAACCACAGGAAGGCTGGCTAAGTGGAAATTCTACAACTAGAAGGGAAGAGAAAAGCACACTGAGACTCAGAGAAGCTGCAGAAGTAAAGTGCAGAGGTACGGAGGTGCGTGAAGAGAGGGCTGGCAATTGAGTATGCTGCTGGCTTTTTCAATCCAGAGGGAGACACATGTTCCCAACTGCTCTGAACTCCAGTTCCGGGCAAGACTCATACGGGGAGAAACTGGACTGTCCGGCAGCAGGTGGAACTTGAGGGTGGCTCTCTCTCAGAGGTGCTTGCAATGATTACCAAAGGACACTGAGACCCGGGGCCTCTAAGGGCAGGGCTGAGGGGAAGCCATTGCTGTTTGCTCTTCCCTGAGACTCCGCCCCATCCAAGCTGTGCACAAAGGCTTTTGCATATGAATGGTCTGCTCCTTTGAAATCTAAACATACCTAACAAACTGCAGCTGAGCCAGAGAGACCCAGAAGAGTGGTGTGCAAACTCATTTGTCAACAAAGCCAAATATCAACAGTATCACGAAATTTCTTTCTAGCGCCCAATTTTTTAAACTTTAAGTTCTAATACCACTTTTTCAAAATAGACTCTCCCAGGCTGTGGTATTTTGTGGAAGAGCCACACTCAAGGGGTCAAAGAGCCACATGTGGCTCGAGCTGCAGTTTGCCGACCATGGACCCAGCAAATCCAAAAGAAAGCCCAAGGCCCCACAACATTGCATTACTTTATAGTTTGGCCTCATCTGGGAACCTCCAAAACAAAAACAAAGAAGAGGAATCTGCATATCTCTCCATGGCTCTTGCTGGGTGGCCTCAAAAAGATACTAAATTAGCACTTCCTTGGAGATCCAAGAGCCAATGTACCCAGGGGTCAGAGTAGGACCATCCAGATTAAAACTCCTCAGATCCCAAAGGGACATACTCAGGTGGCAGACTCAGTGAGCACCAAAGCCCCACTGAAGCAAGTCTTGCCCCATAAGGGTGTCTCCAGCACAAAAGTTCTCCCACCACAGACACAACTGTTCCTCACAGCCAATTGGCCTGCAGGTCAATTCCTCCCAGTGATACCAACAACAATCAAAGCTTAACTACAATAAGACTGTGCACACAGCCCACAAAGGGGTGCACCAAGAGTGTCCACCTCAGGTAACTGGGAGGCTGAGCCACTGGGCCCTATAAGACACTTAGCACACAAAGTCACTATCAACTTAGGGAAGCAGCCAAAATGTGTAGACAAAGAAACAGTCACAAATGAAAGAAATGGTGGAAAGCCAACGACTGAATATAGAGTTCAAAGCCACGGTTATAAGGTTTTTCAAGAATTTTCTAGAAAAGGCTGATAAAGTGCCGAAACCGGTTTGGCTCAGTGGATAGAGTGTTGGCCTACGGACTCAAGGGTCCCGGGTTCAATTCCAGTCAAGGGCATGTACCTCGGTTGCAGGCATATCCCCAGTAGGGGGTGTGCAAGAGGCAGCTGATCGATGACTCTCTCTCATCCATATTTCTAACTCTCTATCTCTCTCCTTTCCTCTCTGTAAAAAATCAATAAAATATATATTTTTTAAAAATAATAATTAGTGAGCAATTAAAGAAAAATAAAAAGTTTCTACACAGCAAAAGAAACCATCAACAAAACAACAAGAAAACCCACTACATGGGAGAACATATTTGCCAATGATATTTCAGGTAAGGGTTTATCTCTGAAATTTACAGAGAACTCATACAACTTAACAAAAGAAAAATGATCCAATCAAAAAAATGGTCAAAGGATCTAAATAGACACTTTTCAAAAGAGGACATACAGAAGAAGGCCCAGAGACATATGAAAATATGCTCAAAGTCGCTAATCATCCCAGAGATGCAAATCAAAACAGCACTGAGGTACCATCTCACACCTGTCAGAATGGTTATCATCAACAAATCAACAAACGAAAAGTGCTGGAGAGGATGTGGAGAGAAAAGAACCCTCCTGCACTCCTGGTGGGAATGCAGACTATGTAGCCACTGTGGAGAACAGTATGGCGTTTCCTCAAAAAGTTAAAAATGAAACTGCCATTTGACCCAGTAATCCCACTCCTAGGACTATATCCCAAGAAACCAGAAACACCAATCAGAAAAGATATATGCACCCCTGTGTTCATAGCAGCAGAATTAACCATAGCTAAGATTTGGAAACAGCCTAAATGACCATCAGCAGATGAGTGGATTAGAAAACTGGTACATCTACACAATGGAATACTGTGCCGCTATAAAAAAGGAACTTTTACCATTTGCAACAACATGGATGGAACTGGAGAGCATTATGCTAAGGGAAATAAGCCAGTCAGAGAAAGATAAATATCACATGATCTCACTCATATATGGGATATAATGATCAACATATATTGATAAACAAAAATACATCTAACGATAAATGGTAGGGGAAAGGGAGTTAAAGAGCAACTAAAGGGCTTGTATGCATGTATATTAGCACAACCAATGGACACAGACATTAGGGCAGTGGGGGCTTGCCCGCGGTGGGAATGGCTGTGGTAGGAGGTGGTCAACTGGAGAATAAGGAGATATGTAAAATTTTAGACAATAAAAATAAATTAATTAATTAAGAAATTAAAAATATCCTTTAATATTAAATTATAATATCAAAATTACATCCTATCAGAACAGTACACAGGTAAAAAATTTTTTAGAGCTTTCAGAATATAATATAAAGTTTTCAATATTTCATTAATTCCACTTAATTCTGGTAAGTTAAACAAAACTGGTATATCTTGTTTTTTAAATAACTTAACCAGAATTACCCATACGCCTAATAGTTTAAATTGTCTGTGATGAAATGAAAAAAACCTGTGTCTCCTCAAAATTCCAGTTGAAATCCTATTAGAAGGTTGGCCTCTTGAAAGGTGACTGGGTCATGAATGAGATTACTGCTCTTATAAAAGACTCCAGAGAGCTCTCTTACCCCTTTCACCATGCTAAGACACAGTGAAAAGACAATCATCTGCAGGCCCTCAACAGACACCAAATCTGTCTGGGCCTTGATCTTGAACTTCCCAGCCTCTAGAGCTGTAAGAAGTAAATTTCTGTTGTTTAAAGCCACCCAGTCTATAGTATCCTGTCATAGTATTCTTAGCCTGAACAGACTAAAATACTTTCTGTCTTACCTGTTACCTAGAAACTGTAGACTTACCTCCTTCATGTTCTTATTAGTGAAATTAGAGATCCTTTTTCTAGGACGATCAATGGAATGATCCTCAATATTATTAGAAAAGTTCCGTTTTTTAACATTGTGGGTTTCAGATGCCATAATCTCTTAAATACCTAGACAACAAAATAAAAAGAATAAATGGAAAATACAAAAAGTAAAAGAGCCTATTTCCTTAATACACATACAAAAATAAAAAAACAGCTTGCTATGTAAAAACTGCTTATGAGTAAAGCAGAGAACACAGTTCTGATCTACGCACTTTTACAAAACAAATACAGAGCTGGGCATTTCATGAAATTAAGGGTCTTTCTGTTCTCATTCTTTTTAGACATCACCAATAATAACATGGCATGCATTTTAGCCCAACACAAAATGTCATTCTCCCCATTTTCCATATCACTAGCCATATATTAAATTTAAATTTACAGGTCATGAAATCAAGTCTATGTGTATAGTAGTAATTATGGCATTCAAATCTACAGAAGCCTAAAAATTTTTAACCAAATCATATATACCACCCCAAGCAGCAGAGGAACCAAAATCAAGCTATAAATATCTAACCTGTTTGTGCCTAACCCTTACATTTTTCTTTCATTCTTGTAGCTAGCTCTCCAAAGCTTTCTTCTACCTTTGAAAAAAAAAATAATCCAATGTACTCCTGGCTAAGAAACCTCTCAGATGAGACTTTTAAAAAAATAAATAAATAATTACATTAATATAATAAGCACTGACTGAGGGGCATCCATATGAGTGAGCAAAACTTCACTGAGGAAAGTCTTAAAGAACAAACAGCATGTGCAGAATTGAAAGGCATGAAGCAACAAGGTTTGTCTGGCATTATCTTAAGCAGATGCATGTGACTGGAACTTAGGCTGGGAGTGGATTACAGCATGGTGAAAAATGAGGCTGGAAGAGATAGGCAGGATCTAGATCATAAAGGGTTTGTTCATGAGCTAAGCTTTTTTGTTGTTAATCCTCACCTGAGGATACACTTATTGAATTGAGAGAGAGCAAGAAAGAGAAAAAGAGAGAGAAGGAGAAAGAGAAAGAGAAAAAGAGGAAGAGAAAGAGAAAGAGAAAGAGAGAGAGAGAGAGAGAAAGAGAAAGAGAAAGAGAAAGAGAAAGAGAAAGAGAAAGAGAAAGAGAAAGAGAAAGAGAAAGAGAGAGAGAAAGAGAAAGAGAGAGAGAGAGAGAGAAAGAATGAGATATCCAGAGATCCAGATAGAACCTGCAGCTTAGGTATATGCCTTGACCAGAAATTGAACCAGCAACTTTTTGGTATGCTCCAACCGAATGAACAACACTGGTCAAGGCTTTTTTATTTTTATTTATTTTTATTTTTTTTAAGGGAAGAGAGACATTTAAAAATAGGAGATGAAACACTTCCACCTGAGACCCAATTATAATGACAGAAAAAAAATTTTAAACACATAAAACCCATTAGGACAAAGAAGAGGAAATGACGACAACATTTTGGAAATGGCAAAGCAGAAATGATAAATGACTTGGCAGATCTGAGAAAGCCAAATCCTAAATCAACAACAGTAAGGAAAGGTGAAAAGGAGAATCCCCAAAAGGTTCAGTAACTGGCAATACTGAGGACCTCAATAAGTGAGGATAAATGTGGACTTAAGAACAAGTAACATGAATATCCATTCAAGACACCTAGATTCATCAATACATCCCCTTCCCCATTCCAGTAAAAGACTAGTTTTATAGTATGGAAAACTTAAAACACAACCTTTGGGATGGGTAACACCAGTCATGAATGAAGGCGAAAGGAGCATATTATAAACCAGGGTGGGGAAGAGGATCAAGTGAAAGTTTACAAAGTAAATATTAAGACCTCTAACCTTTATTCTACCAGTTGCCTCTCAGAGGCCTGCAGCCAGGCTTATAGACTTCAGAAAAGAGGGCAAAAGCTCAATCCCAGAGGAAAACACATCCTACCTAATAAAGAGGGGATGTGCTAATTAACCATCACGCTTTCACAAAGATGGCGGAGCCCACAGACAATAAGGAGGGAATATGCTAATTTACTGTTGAGTCCTCAAAGATGGCAGTGCCCACAGCCATAAAATGGCAGCTCCCAGCCCCCTCAGCCCCACAGGGGCAGCAGGCGCAAGGCACAGCCGAGCCTGCCCCCAGGCAGGTCCAACTGCTCCACACGCCTGCCTCCAGAGTCCCCTCAGCCACCAGCCACCCAGGGCTGACCTGAGGCGCAGGTAAGCCAACAATTGTGGCTGCCCAGCTGCCCAGGGCTTCCCAAAGCTCAGGTAACCAAGGCTTGTGCTGCTGGCAGTGGCAGCAGAAGAGGTATAGGGGAGCGTCACCTCCCTCCTCTGAGGGCTCCCGGACTGTGAAAAGGGGGAAGGCTGGGCTGAGGGACTCCCCCACCTGTGGATGAATTTTCATGCACCGGGACTCTAGTATATACATAGATATCTAAAAATATTGACATCAGTGATGATTAAACTTCACAAAAAACTTTTATATCTTGATTATGGTGGTACCCAACTGTCAAAACCAAGCAATATAGACTGTGTAAAATTTTATTAGATGTATATTACATCTTAATAAATCTGCCTTTAAAAATTCCTTAAGACAGTGGTCGGCAAACTGCAGTTTGCGAGCCACATGTGGCTCGGGAGCCTTGGTTTGTCACTTTGTTGACTTATGAGTTTGCAGACCACTGCCTTAAGAGATATGAACAAACTGCATCCATGAAACACAAATGAGGCAAAAAATGAACTAAGACCACTGGAAATTAATTACTGTTACAGTAGACCCTTGTTTCTGTGAAAAGATGCAACCTGATTACTATTTAGTCTATAAAAAGTCAACTTTTTGTAACCCAACTCCTCAATAAATATGAAGTTGCCCTAGTTGGTTTTGCTTAGTGGACAGAACATCAGCTCTTGGACTAAAGAGCCCGAATTCAATTCTGGGCTAGAGCACATATCTCATTTGCAGCTTGATCCCTGGCCCAAACATCAATGTTTCTTTCTCTCTCTCTCTCTCTCTCTCTCTCTCTCTCTCTCTCTCTCTCTCTCTCTCTCCCCTCCCCCCCCTCTCCCTTTCCACTCTCTCTAAAAAAAAAAATCAATGAAAAAAATAACCTCCAGTGAGGATTAACAACCCTCCCCCAAAAAATCTTAATACAGCTGAAACCGGTTTGGTTCAATGGATAGAGCGTCGGCTTGGGGACTGAAAGGTCCCAGATTTGATTCCGGTCAAGGGCATGTACCTTGGTTGCGGGCATATCTCCAGTAGGGGGTGTGCAAGAGGCAGCTGATCGATGACTCTCTCTCATCGATGTTTCTAACACCCTATCTCTCTCCCTTCCTCTCTCTACAAAATCAATAAAATATATTTTTTAAAAAAAATCTTAATACAAATGAATAAAATAATATGAAGTATCACAAAAGAACCTTGAGAAATAAAAGTAATTAGAGAAAGAGCCCAATGCATTTTGAAGTTATTTATTACATGTTCTTACAAGCTATTATACTTTTAAAGAATTTTCATGATTGGTCACAAGCCTTATACCAGAAAACATTAGAATTCTTGTGATCTGTCCGCAATTCGTTAACATGTAACTATAGATGTTTTGTATTCAGAATCTCATTTATATTATAACTAGAGGCAGGGGTGTCCCTCAGCCCAGCCTGCACCCTCTCCAATCCGGGACCCCTTGAGGGCAGTCGGACATTCCCTCTAACAATCCAGGACTGCTGGCTCACAACTGCTTGCCTGCCTGCCTGCCTTCCTAACCACTTCTGCCTGCCAGCCTGATCACCCCCTAACCACTCCCATGCCAGCCTGATTGATATCTAACTGCTCCCCTGCCAGCCTGTTTGCCCCAACTTCCCTCTTTTGCTGTCCTGGTCACCCCTAACTGCCCTCCCCTGAAGGCTTGATCACCCCCAACTGCCCTTCCTTGCAGGCCTGGTCCATCCCAACTGCCCTCCCCTGCTGGCCATCTTGTGGTGGCCATCTTGTGTCCACATGGGAGCAGAATCTTTGACCACATGGGGGCAGCCATATTGGGTGTTGGAGTGATGGTCAATCTGCATATTACTCTTTTATTAGATAGGACAGAGGCCTGGTGCATGGGTGCCCTGAAGGATGTCCTGGACCAGAGTAGGGGTTCCCTTGGGGCATGGGGCAGCCTGAGCGAGGGGCCTGTGGTGGTTTGCAGGCCAGCCATGCCCCCTGGAAACCCAAGCAGAGGCCCTGGTATCTGGAATTTATTTACCTTCTATAATTGAAACTTTGTAGCCTGGAGTGGAGGCATGGGTGTGCGGAAAGCTTTGCTTCTCCAGTTGCCAGAGGCAACCCTAGCCTCCTACTCTCTCCAGCTCTGTGGCTGCTGCCATTTCTGTTTGTACTTGTCTACCTTATATAATTGAAACTTTATAGTCTTGAGTGGAGGCTTAGGCCAGCAAGGGCAGGCAGAAAGCTTGGCTTCTTCTGTTGCCTGGGAAACCCAAGCCTCCCTCCTGCTCTCTGTGGCCATAGCCATCTTGGTTGGGATTATTTGCATACTCACTCTGATTGGATGGTGGGCGTGGCTTGTGGGTGTACGGGGTGATGGTTAATTTTCATATTACTCTTTTATTAGGTAGAATAGAGGACGAGTGCACAGAAATTTGTGCACTCGAAGGGGGGTCCCTCAGCCTGGCCTGCACCCTTTCACAATCCAGGACACCTCCGATAGGGCTCCTAGGCTTGGCCTGAGATCAAGGCCTACCAGAGCTTCCATCCCCCAGGCTGCAGGCAGCTGGCCCCACCTTCACCACTGCCACTGCTTGCCATCTGTGCACCACTGCCCGGTAGCCTCCCTCTGCAGGTGACAGGCTGGGGTGCAATGGCTTAGCTAGCCTGGGCCTCCCTCTTTCTTTGCTGGGTGCAGGGCCAGCCCTGCGAGGGGTTGTCTGCCTACCTGAACGCCCCTAACTGCTTACCTACCTACCTGATCACCCCTAACTCATTTTTTTTTTTTTTAAATCAATCTTTATTGTTCATATTATTACAAAGGTTCCTCATTTCTTCCCCCCTCCACCAGGTTCCCACCCCACCCTTTGCCCCCTCCCCAT